ATCAGGGGCGGCGGGGCCGCGAGATCAGGGACGGCGGGGACCGCGAGTGCTTGGGCGGCGGGGGCCGCGTATAAGGGACGGCGGGGCCGCAAGCGCGTGGGCGGCGGGGCCGGGCGAGAGAAGAGGCGGCGGGCCGCGTTCACTGGGTGGCGGGGCCGCGAGGGTAAGGGCCGGCCGCTAGGGCGGCTTGGGGAAGGAGTGGCCCGAGGCGCGACTCGGGATGAGTGCGGCTTCGGGCAGAAAAAAAAAGATTTCGAGTGGTGGGCCCTAGGCACAGTTCCCACAGGGGAACCTGCTCTATACCATGTGGAGAACTGAACGAGAATGAATGAACTATGAATGAAGTGAGTACAAATATGAAACCCTAATTGGGTTGTACCCCCTATGGGATACCTCACTATAGCCTACACAAATAAGTAAGCTATAATGTTCTGACACCGTCCCCGTATTATTAGAGATAGACCAAAGGCGCTTCCACCTTCCCCCGATCTTCCAGCAGCCGCCGTAGCGATGAGGCGCTCCAAGCTTCTCTTGGTCCTGCTCGCACTCTCTCCCTCGTCGTATCCCTCGCGCTGATTCAGCCGTGCCGCGCGAAAGAGATTGATGCTGAGGACGACGTGCCGACGATGATTTCTCGGATGACGTCAGCGTGGATTCCGCCGCGTCGCCTCCTGGTACGAGGGGAGGCTCCAACCTGTCCCTTTAGAATATTCTCACTTTCGGTTTTTCCCCTTGCCGCTTTGGCCGGCTAGGACGCTATAAGTTTCGTAGCGAATTTCTTTTCTAACCACGGTTTTCTGCCGCTTTCCCCGACGACAGATCTCCTGAGCAAGCTTTTCGGCAGGACCAGGAGGTTTCCTATGGTCCTCTGAGACGCACCGCATGCTGTCGTCGTGCAAGTCGGATTGCGAGGCGAGAGAATAAGAAGTGCAACACGGATTACAGCAAGTGCAAGCGGGAGAACAAGGACGACGAGCACGACCACCACAAGTGTACGCACAAGTACAAGCGGTGCAAGAAGAAGGCCAAGAAGTGTCCGCTCTAAATGCGACTAAGTCAGCACAAGGACGAGTGTGATTGGGTTGAGTTTGTGTCACATAATCTGGAATAGGGGCGACTTGGGTGGGCTGATCTGGAATCGTTACATGAAAATACCCACTTCTGGACTTCGAAAATGTTTTGTTAACGAGTCAAAGTTCATCTCCACTCAGAGGTGGAGGGGGGTGGACGAGGGGAGAAGGGGGAAGGGGAGTGAAGGAGGGGAGGAGAGGATTAGGAGGGGTTGAAAGTGATGAGCTGAAATTCAGTTACGCTTGCTAATCATGTCAGTGGTTGTGGGCTGGCAAGTGAGGGAGATCTGCATAAGTGGGGAATGTGGGCTGATAGTAGTGCCGGTAAGATGCTGAAACTGATTGCAGAAAGCGGGTGAATCATAGTTGAAGCATACCTGGGATGAGTGAGCTTTCTATGATTCACCAACTATGATTCACCAACTATGAATCATCAACTATGATTCACCCGCTTTCTTCAGCTCACTCATCTCCCCTGGCAGCGCCTGCAGCTTCGCACAGCCCGACAAGCTCAGAGATTTGAGTCGCGTAAGCCGCGCAAAGTTGGGACACAGGGAGCGGATGGAGCTGTGCGGAATTGCCAGCTCGTTCAGGCAGGTAAGGCAGGTGAGAGAGGCAGGCAGCTGCTCAAGCTGCTCGCAGAAAAGGAGTTGCAGCTGCCGAAGCCGACACAAGGCACCGATGCCATCTGGGAGAGAGGCCAGTTGGGACGCATAGTGAACCTCCAAGCTCGTGAGGTTCTCAAGAGCTGTGACACTCGCTAGCAGCTCCCTCAACTCGTCCGCGCAAAGCTTCAGCTTCCGCAGCTGCGGCAACACCGTCCCCATATCGGGCGGCAGCCTTTGGACGTGTCCCGCGCCCTGAACAATCAGGGTGCGCAGCCGAGAAAGAAACGTCAGAGCGAAGGGAAGCTCCTCGGCATCGTTTGCCAACGTGAGCCTTAAATGCTCCAGATGAGACAGGCTTCTGCTCACAGCTTTCCCACACGCCACAGACACCCTGTTCAGGCAAAGTGTCCGAAGCCCCGTCAGCCTGGAGAGATCGGGCAGAGCCATGGCATGACTGAAGCTTCCTCAGCTGAGCACTTCAAGCGAGGCCGGCAGGACCTGAGGAGGGTGCTTCAGCGCGTCACACCAAGTCACCACCAGCTGCTTGAGCCTTGTAAGGCCGTCCAACCCAGTGGGCACGAAGGCGAGCTCTCTGCAGCCGGAGAGTGTGAGAGTTTCGAGGCGAGTCAGGCACGTCACCGACGCTGGAAGGGCCGTGAGATGCGAGCAGCAGGAGACGTGCAGCTCCCGCAGGTTGCTCAGCTCTCCCACGCCCTCTGGAAGCGCTTCCACGTGGCACAGCTCCAGCTCCAGCCTTGTCAGCGAGGAGATCTCGGTTAAGGAGGACGGGAGATGGCGCTGATGAGAGCTCTCTCTCACAAGAAGCGTCTGGAGGTTACACAGCCGTCCTATGTCTACTGGAAGCGCCACTCGTCCGAGGCAAAGGGTCTTGAGAGCTGTGAGGCAGTCGAACCCTGCTGGCAGCTCGTGGATCGGCTCGCACCAGAGCAGAAAGAAGGTCTCCAAGGCGCTGAGCTGGCAGAGGGAGTCAGGGAGGCTTGACAGCGGCAGCTTCTCCAGAACCAGAGTTTTCAGGGCAGATAATCTCCCAACGTTTTCGGGCAGGCAGCGAAACTCGAGGCAACTGTAGATTGACAGGGACTCGAGGCGGTTCAGGGAAGTGAAACCCTCGGGAAGCTCCTGCAAGAGCTCGCAGCTGCAAATGGTGAGCTCACGAAGACGCGGCAGCAGCTCTGCAATGTCGTCCGGAAGTCGCTCCAATTCTCGGCAACCTGATAACTCCAGCTATTCCAGGGTCGTGCACGGCCAGCTCGGAAGCAACATTTGGCTGGTGATCAGCGCCGACTTTATTAATGGTAACTGTGCGATGGTGAACTCAGCCGAGCCTGGGTCGTCAGGATAAAAGCTCGTCCGGGTAGAGACGGAGAGGGTGGTAATGCTGGGAAGGCGACGCACATTCGAGAGCTGCTCAATGCTCAACTCCACGGAGGCGATATGGAGAGTGGTGAGAGCGGTGAGGCTTTCCAGATCTGGATCTTCTAAGGCGGAGGCGGTTGTTAAGGCGAGGGTGTGTAGGCGTGTTAGGTGGAAGAAAGAAGGCGGTAGCTCCACGTCCAAATGGAGGCAGAGGAGTGAAAGCTGCTCCAGCTGAGAGCATTGCTTGAAGAACCGATCCAGGCCCGCTTCGGTGATCGGGTGCTGATGCTTCCATCCGGCGTAGCCCGGATCGTGCGTGATTTCGCTTCCTACGTGGAGGATTCTCAGGTTGGGACATGACGATGCGAGGTGAGATAGGAAGGTTGTCGTCTAGGGTTTCAACGCTATGCCGTCGCACAGATGGAGGTGGGTGAGGTTCGGAAAGCGAAGCGACGGCGTGCGAGAGTTCTTGGAGGGAAATGACGCGATTTCGTTCCACGAGGAGGGTGGAGACGTCTCGCTTCGCTAGAGCGCCGCCAACGACGGCACACGGAGGAGAGGAGGGCGATCTTGGCAGCGCTTGGAACGGCGGAGGGAGTTGGAATTAGAGTCGTCTCTTCCTCGGGGCTGGAATCTTCGTCGATCGGGATTGAGCGAAGGTACTGTGGCTTCGGCCACAATAGATGGCGAGACCATAACGCGTCACTGTCGGAAAGCCAAGATGTGTTCTCCTCGCAGTGCCATAGTATCTTAGCGAGGACGTCGTTGGGAAGATCGTTGATATGCGTCGCCGACTGCATTTCCTGGGGCGCGATCATAGTAGCAAAGTTTGGAAAGCGAGATCCAGTGACTTTGAAGCCTAGACTGACTAAAAAGTTCAAACGAGACTAACACGAGTGTGACGTGACAGCACGAGGGATAGAACGCGCGGGAAAGCAGTGGAAGTCGACACTAGAGGCGTGAAACGCGGTGGAAGCGGTGGAAGTAGTGTTGCTCTAAACAGACTCGGAGGAGGTATTTATCCAAGTGACCAGAGAAAGGAGTGCCGCATGGATAACTTGAATTCATGGCGTGCCGTGTTGTGGAAGGTGCTTCTGTGCAAGCATATCAATCCGCTCAACAGTAGGGAGAATGGAAGCTCAGGTGTGGTGTGGCGGGGGAAGCCCCTCCCCTGACGAGCTGGGGGGACGAGCGAGAGGTGGCGGAGATGAGTTGAAGACCGAGTCCTGCGGAGTAGGGCAAATAGGTGCGCAGAAGCAGAATTGCTGCGGAGGTGCGTGTGAGGACTTCTGTCTGGTGTTCGCTTTCGCGTGCACTGTACGCGATGGGAACGGAGTTCCGTACCAAACATTTTCGCTGAATGGTACGATGTTTTGCACCAATTCGCATGCCAGAAAACACCGCTGAACAAGGTGGTGCGAGGTTCTGGCGTCCGGCATTGGTTCCAGAGTTGCTGGGAACTTGTTTTTCGCAAGCTAGTGCGAGGAAGATCATGACGAGGAGGCAGCGATGGCACGGCCATGGTGTCTCTTGTCGAAACACCATGTTACCGAGTGTCCGCAAGTGATTTGCCACAGACGCTAGCAAGCCCGTTATGCGAACTTGTTCAGAAGCAACGTCAACAAACATATGTAGCGGCGAAATCGCGTGCGTCGGCGGGAAATCGCGTTTCTCTCAAAAGAATCGACCTAAATTGCTCCGAACTCGCCACTTGGGCGTTTTCCTTAATTGGATGGACCGTGTTTGCCCCCGGCCCCCCAACCCGATTTTCCCCGCCCTTCCCGTCCGAAATTCGGGCAGCCGTGTGTACTCCCGTGAAGTCACAAACAGTCACGAATTCAAAATACTAGACGATTTGATTCTTCATTGTTGAATGACAGTCAGTTGTGCCATCAGCCGTTGTAGTACCTTTTTACTATATTTCTCATTTTCGTAGAAGATATAACCAGTAGTGATATATCCTGAAATTACTAATAGATGGAGCCTAACAAGTTAATAAAATATGATTTTGAATGAGATAATAATCAGTAATATGGATTTTATTAATTTTATGCCACTGAAGTAACAATCATTTTTAGAAGAATAAAAATATGAGGTTAATACTTTTGTCTAGATTATATAAAGCAGTAAAAGTCATACAAAGTATCTACCTGATTAAAAAATAGTTAAAATTGATTTGACTTAGAGTGAATATTACTATGAATGATTTAGATTTTTATTTTATGTCTCCCAAAATCAGCTTTACGTGTAGATATCAACAGACATAAAAAGCTCTAGGTAATTTGTCATGTGTTTTCTTGCGCCCCTTTCTAATTGCATATTCTAATCCAAAAATACATGATACAATCAACGTGCATAAGAGTCTCTAGAGATTTAGAAGCAACCGCCGAAATTATCAAGACTCTGTTGCGAAAGCTGATGTGGCATGCCACAACTACACGAAGGATTTGGCCAAATCGTCTAGTACTTTGAATTCGTGACTGTTTGTAATTTCACGGGAGTACACACGGCTGCCCCGAATTTCGGAGGGGAAGGGCGGGAAAATCGGGTTGGGGGGGCCGGGGGCAAACGTGGTCCATCCAATTCAGAAAAACGCCCACGTGGCGAGTTCGGAGCAATTTAGGTCGATTCTTTTGAGAGAAACGCGATTTCCGCCGATGCGTGCGATCTCGCCATATGTAGCATTTCAAAAAGTATGGACTTGAGTCCATGTTCTTGGCCAGAACAAAACAAAAGCACACACTAGAAAGCAGACTCGCAGCTCACGAGGTCTTTAGTGCAGGATTAACTCCTCTTGCAAACGTAGTTGTTAGCGAGACACGAGTGATTCTATGGATGCTGTTCGGTATTTTTCCCGTAGTACCCAGTCTCTCGCTTGCATCAACTCGCACATCCTGCATGCGAAGCTTCCTAGACGAGTATCGGAAGTAAGCTTTCGAGCTCTTTTCCCTTTTCTACGCTTCCCTTTCAACGACCTATTTAGCTTCATCTCATTACTCCTGGTTTTTTTTCTTCTTATCTGAATGCTTGTCCCCACTCCATTCCGATCCTCATCGTTTCGGCCGTTTTTTAACGTGCTGAACACTGTTTATTCCGTAGCGCATCTCTCAGCTCGCTAACCAGTTTGCGCCTCAGCTCTCAGCCCCGTTGTTGGCCTCCCTCACATGCTTTCCGTTCGTTCCTCCATTTCTCCTTCCTGCTCCTGCCCTCATCTGCTTCGCCCGCTCTACGCAAGCCTTCTCTTCTCGCATGTGACTACGATGCTTGTCCGCGAGTCCGTCTTCTTGCAACTCCCCTCCTCCTCCTTCCCTCATCGCTCTTTCCCAATCCCCCCGCATCAACACTCCGACCCTTTTCATACCCGCATGCGATGCTAACTCGGTCGCCAACGTCGCCAACCTACAGCCGTCGCAGGGCCAGCAGGGGAGCGCAGGGTGGCGGAGAAAGTCGGGCGACTACTGCATTCCTCTCCTCCCCTCCTTCCCCTCGCCCGTCCTTTCCTTCCCTCCTTCCCTACATCTCTCCTTTCCTCCCCTCCTCGCCTCAGGTCTCCCCGTCTCGCATTCAAGTGCGAAGCGCGGCCGCGGATTCGTCAAGCGGCCACGGCAGGGCGAGCAGGGAGGCGCAGGCCGCCAAGGAGGCCATGGAGATGCTGTGGCGCTCGCACAGCGGGGGCGGTGCTGCTGACGGGCTGAATCAAAGCGGGGTGAACCACAGCGGAGGAGTGAGCCATGGTGGGATGCAGCAGGCTCACGCGCAGCCGCTGTCCATGCCTGGCGGGGGGTTTGAGTATGGCGAGGAGGAGGGGGAGGGTGCGGGCCCAGGGGGGTTCACCCAGAGAGCGTGCGATCGTTGCTGGAGGCTCTTGAACTGGAGGCGGCAGAGGAGTCGAAACACGCGCTCAGGTGAGGAGCAAGCACGGGCTGAGCTGAGCCGCACGCAGGGTGGCGTGGGTATGGGGAAGAGGAGGGGGAGGGTGCGGGCCCAATCGGATTCACCCCGGAGAGTGTGTGGTCGCTGCTGGAGGCGGTTGAACTGGAGGCGGCAGAGGAGTCGAAACACGCGCTCGGGTGGGCAGCACGCCTTCAAGGGAGCAGTCAGCACAGCCTGAGACGAGCAGCACGGCATGAGGTGAGCCGGGAGGCTTTTTCTCAGACATGGAATCGACACGACAGCCTGCCAAGTTGACTGTGTTCCTCTTCTCCCTCCCCCTTCTCATTGCAGCAGCATCGTGGACTGGGTGCTGTGGGCGCGCAAGAACAGCTACCAATCGTCCTCCTCCTTTTGCCTCCCCTCCCCTTCTATCTCCACCCCCCTTTATCCCCCCCATGGCAGCATGGTGGACCGTATGCTGGGGTTGGACCGTATGCTGGGGGTGGACCGTATGCTGGGGGTGGACCGTATGCTGGGGGTGGACAAGAGCAGAGATAGCCACCCTAACCTTTCCCCTCCCTTCCTCATGGCAGCATCGTGGACCGCGTGCTGTGGGTGGACAAGCGAGTGCGCGACTACATGACGCCAACCCCATCTGCCTGCACCGTGACATGTCGCTCCGCGACGCCGCTCAGGTGACACAGGGAGGGGCGGGTCAGGTGAGGGATAGGCGGGTCAGGGGAGGGATAGGCGGGTCAGGGGAGGGATAGGCGGGTCAGGGGAGGGATAGGCGGGTCAGGGGAGGGATAGGCGGGTCAGGGGAGGGATAGGCTGGTCAGGGGAGGGATAGGCGGGTCAGGGGAGGGATAGGCGGGGTCAGGGGAGGGATAGGCGGGTCAGGGGAGGGATAGGCTGGTCAGGGGAGGGATAGGCGGGTCAGGGGAGGGATAGGCGGGTCAGGGGAGGGATAGGCGGGTCAGGGGAGGGATAGGCAGGTCAGGGGAGGGATAGGTGGTCAGGGGAGGGATAGGTGGGTCAGGGGAGGGATAGGCGGGTCAGGTGAGGGATAGGTGGGTCAGGTGAGGGATAGGCGGGTCAGGGGAGGGATAGGTGGGTCAGGTGAGTGTGAGAGGGGGCGGGTCTGGTGAGGGTGAGAGGGGCGAATCAGAGTAAGTGGGACAAGAATGCTCCCCTCTCCCCTCTTCCCCCTCCCGTCTCCCTTCTCCCGCCTGCCCTCTACCCACTCGCCTCTCCCGTCTCCCTTCTCCACACTCCCTTCTCCCCTGTACCTTCTACCCACTCTCTGCTCCCCTCTTTCCTTGCTCCCCTCATGCCTACCATACTCAATCAGCAGGCTCCATCCGTAGAGGCGGAGGAGGAAGAGACTGCAACAGGGGGAGATCAAACATGCCTCCCCTCTTCCCTCGTCCCTTTTCTGTCCTCTCTCCTATCTCCGCTCTCCTCTCCTTTCCGCCCCTCTCCTTCATCGCATCAGCATACATCTGTGGTGGAGGCAGAGGAAGAGAAGAATGCCACAGGAAGATCTCTAAACTTCATCCCTCCTCACCCTCTCCCTCTCCCCTTCTCGTCCTGCCCACTCCCGCTTCTCTCCCATCGGCCTTCGTCACATGCAGATTTCCTGCACCATCGCATCATTGGGGCTCCAGTGGTGTAGGCGGAGGAGCAGGGGAGTGCTCCCAAGGTTGGTCAAACATTGCCTCCCCTCTCCCCTCCTCCTCCTCCCCAACTCCTTTGCTCACTCGCAGATCTTCCTGCGCCATCGCATCAGCGGGGCGCCAGTGGTGGAGGAGGCGGATGCAGAGGTTGACGGGGTGGGGCTGGGCAAGGTGGTGGGTGTGCTGTCTCAGCGCGACATCATGTGGAAGGAGCTCCGGACGCATGGCATGGTGGGTGCCATATGCGTGTGCCATTCTCGAGAGTTCTAAAATAGAGTGTGACAGTGTGGGGCTGGGCATGCTGGTATGTGTGCTCTCTCAGCGCAATGTCATGTGGAAGGAGCTCAGGACGCATGGTGGTAGGTGGTGTGGAGTCTGCATCCTTCCACGTAATTTTCAATGCATAGCATGGTGGTGGTGGTGGTGGTGGTGGTGGTGGTGGTGGTGGTGGTGGTGGTGGTGGTGGTGGTGGTGGTGGTGGTGGTGGTGGTGGTGGTGGTGGTGGTGGGTGTGGGTGTGGGTGTGGGTGTGGGTGTGGGTGTGGGTGTGGGTGTGGGTGTGGGTGTGGGTGTGGGTGTGGGTGTGGGTGTGGGTGTGGGTGTGGGTGTGGGTGTGGGTGTGGGTGTGGGTGTGGGTGTGGGTGTGGGTGTGGATGTGGGTGTGGGTGTGGGTGTGGGTGGTGGGTGTGGTTGTGGTGGTGGTGGTGTGGTGTGCATCGCAAGCATGCTACGGTGGTGACCAACTTATCATGCAATGCTGGAAGTTGGAGCTCTGGAGTCAGCCTGAACTGCCATACTACCCCTTCCTTCACACGCGCTAGCAGCCAAATGCTCCCATTGCCGGCGAAGGAATGTCAGTGGAGTCTGGCGAATCACCAGACCGGACCACCTCAGTTAGGGTTTCAACTTTTGGGGCGCCTCAAAAGTGGAGCCTGGCGAATCACCAAACTAGGACCACCCCAGTTAGGTTTTCACGCTCCTTGCCGTCTTCAAGCCTTCCCCGTGCCGGCCATACTCCCTTCTCCAGGCGGAGTAGGAGTTATCGAAAGCGACTGCCGTGTTTGATTTTGCGGCGCCTTGCGAACCACCAGGACCATCTTAACCAGGGTTTCACACCCCCTCCCGTCTTCAACCCCCCTCATGTCCCTCATGTCCCTCATGCCCCTCATGCCCCTCATGCCCCTCATGCCCCTCATGCCCCCTCATGCCCCTCATGCCCCTCATGCCCCTCATGCCCCTCATGCCCCTCATGCCACCATGCCACCATGCCCCTCATGCCACCATGCCACCACGTTCCGTCCACTGTAGGCGGAGGAGGAGTTTCTACGGCGCCTGGCCAACTACCAGGACCACCTCAACCAGGGGCCTCGGGTGGACAAGCTGCGCCAGCACCTCAGAAAGGCTGCCTCGCTACGGGTCAGTGGATTGGGATGGGTGGAGAGGAAGTTGAGTGGGTGGGACTGGGTGGTGGTGAGGTGAGTGAGGGAGTGAGAACTGATGTCAGGGACCTCCGAAAGGCCGTTTTACTGCGGGTGAGTGGTGTGGGATGGGTTGGAGAGGGGGTTGAGTGGTTCAGAGTGGTGGGAGATTGGGTGGTGGGAGTGAGGGAATGAGAGCTACGAGCAGCAGGAGTGAGGACCATCTGAACAGGGCCCGCAAATGGACAAGCCGCTGTAGCACCTCGGGAAGGCTGCTTCGCTGCGGGTCAGTGGATTGCGTTGGAGCAGGAAAGGGGGGTGAGTGGGATGAGGTGGAGAGTGAGGTGAGGGTGATTGGAGTGTGGCGCTGACGCGGGGTGAGTGAGTGAATGAGAGTGATTGAACCCATTCTTGGCTCAAATAGCCAACTCGATTCCATTTGGCACGTGGTGGACACTTATGGAACGTGAGTCTCATCTGCCATGCGCCTCATCTGCCATGCGCCTCATCTGCCATGCGCCTCATCTGCCATGCCCGGGTGTGTGCACGCTTGTGGGCTCTGGTGGTACCCTGTCGTGTGCCCTGATGTGTGCAATGCAACCCCCATCTCCCCCTGCTCACCTCCTCATCTACACCCTGCTGCAAGCAGGTGGCGGAGTTGGTGACAGACACGGTGCTGCAGGTGCAGCAGCTGGTGGTTTGTCAAACACTCATGCTTCCCCCCCCTTCCGCCCTCAAACCCTCCCCCACCCCTCTCCTCATGTGCTGTAGTGTGTGCAGGAGGACCCTGTGGCTGTGGCTCGTCAGGCCCGCCTGCTCTTGAACCACCCCTGCGGCCCGCCCACCCCCCTTCTCGTCCCCCCTCCCCATGCATCCTGGTGCGCCCAGGTGGAGGAGCGTTTGGCTTTTTTGACTCCCACGTGCCTTCATGTGAATCGCATGCCCTCTCATTTGCTCACAGGTACAAGAGTCGATGACAGACACGGTGCTGCAGGTGGAGCTGCCTGTGGCTAATCAGACTCTCATGCTCTCAAATCCTCTCTCACCCCCCCACTCCCCTTTCATCGCCCCATGCATGCCCTCTCATCTGCTCACAGGTGGAGGAGTCGATGACGGACACGGTGCTGCAGGTGGAGGAGGACTCGTTCATGGTGGACGCCACTGAGATCATGCTCAACTGCAATGTGCGTACAGTGCAGTTCATGTTGCTCGTGTACAGTACATCATGCTTATTTTCAACCATGCTTATATTTAATATGGGTGATGCTCATGGTGGACGCCACTGAGATCATGCTCAACTGCTCAATGTGAGTCATGGCCAATGGTGATGCACAATGAAGCATGCTTACGTGAAAATCGTCATGTGAGGCATAGTGTTGAAACATGCTTTCTGTGTGCGTCATTCATAATCTCGTAGCAAGTGGTGCGTCAGTGTATCTCATAGCTGTCATGTGATTCTTCAGGATTCGGCATCGCTCTGGTTGTCTTGCATTATTCACACATCCTGTCCCTGTCTCATGGTGCACCGCGTGTGCACCGCGTGTGCACCGCGTGTGCACCGCGTGTGCACCCTATGCACTTCCCTCTCCTGTGCTCATGCCTGCTCTCTGCACTTGCTGCTTCCTCCCTCCCCCCTGCATGCCCTGCATGCGCCATACTCCATGCGGCACACCACAGGTGTCTCGCCTGCCTGTGGTGGCGCGGCTCCCGGATGGTCGCAGGACTCTCACAGGCATCATCACATGCAGCGACATTCTGCGGCACACGCTGCTGCTGCTCTAGAAGTGGATTTGAGTCGACTCAGAGTACATTGTAAAGCACACGTTGCAGCTGCCACGAAACCGCATACACTCATATTTTCGAATCACTGGCATACTCTCACCGGCATCATCACATGCAGCGACATTCTATGCCACATGCTGCAGCTGCTGCTACTGCTGCTGCTGCTGCTCCAGAGGTGACTCTTAGAGCGAGCCTTCTACAGACATTCCACATCACACACTGCCGCTGTTGCTGCTGCAGCAGCAGCATGTGCTGCCATGGGAGAGGCTGCCCACACTCATTCTCCACCACACCCCCGGTCCACATCCACCCACACTCCCTATTCATCGCCACACTCTCGTCGTCACATCGTTACCTGCAGCAGCGACATACCAAGGCACATTGCTGCTGCTGCTGCTGCTGCTGCTGCTCTAGAGGCATGTGCTGCCATGCAACATCTGCCTGGCTATGTGCCACCACACTCTCATCCGCATCGTCAGCTGTGACGGCATTGTCTGTCGCCCGCCACTACCGCTGCTGCTGTAGAAACAAGCACTGCCAAGGATAACTTTTGAGTCGACTCAAAAGTCAACAAGCACTGCCATGGATAAACTCCAGCTATTTCGGTCTTCGTAATGGCCACCACCACACATCAGCGTCGTCAGTTGCATCTACGACCTCCTCAGTCGCTCGCTACGCTACTGCCCTACATACTCGCTCCTATTGCTGCTGTACGGCGCCTCAAAAGTTAGTAGTGACATTTTCAGTCGCATGCTACTGCCGCGGCTGCTTTACTTCCTCTTCTTGCCTCTCATGACTCTCACTGGTGCTAATCTTCTCACCTCACACTCTGCTGCTGCTGCTGCTGCTGCTGTAGACAACTTCTTGCTGCCTCAAGCAAGCACCTCTAGTCACCTGTTTAAGTGTGTATTATATTACCTGCGTGTATCTACTTATGGAAAGCAGACGTGCTGAGTTATAGGAATCTGTAAGTTGGACAGCACACTTACTACTTTGCTCGAAAGACCTGTTACAGTGCTTTCAGTTGATTTTTGCTCTAGAATTTAGTCTGGAAGAAAAGGTATAGCATTCTTGCACTGATGTATTTGTTTTCATGTTCTGTAGAATAACGAATCGCCTTACGAAACAGACGCGCATCGCCGCTGATTTCACAACCCCCCCCTCCCCTCATCGTCAACCCCAGTTCGCCATTCCGCATTCACACTATCTGGTAACCACACTGGTAGTCAGAGCCATTCGCACATTCGGACAGCACAACTAGCTCCTTCGCCATGATCCAGCCTGCTGCAGCTGCAGCCGCTTCCGCCATCTCCTCCGCTTCCGCCACTTCCGCGCGCCCTTCCGCCCTTAGCGCCTACCGCACGTTGCTCCGCGCGATCCGCAAATCCTTCCCCGGGGACCAGCACGCGCAGTCCGCAGGGCGCGCGGAGGTGCGCGGGCACTTCGAGGGGAACCGCGGGGAGGCGGACGAGCGGCGGCTGGCGGAGCTGGAGAGGGACGCGCGGGACGCGGCGGAGATGCTCCGGACGATGGTGGTGCAGGCGCGGCTGAACGAACGGGGGAACTTCGGTGAGGGAAAGGGGGCAGCGATGGGGGGAGCGATGGGGGAGTGATGGGAGGAGCGACGGGGGAGTGATGGGGGGGGCGATGAGGGGGGGGCGATGGGGGGGACGATGGGGGGAGTGATGGGGGGAGTGATGGGGGGGGCGATGGGGGGAGAGATGGGGGAAGCGATGGGGAGCAGTTGGGGGAAGGATAGGAGTTTCAGGAGGAAAGGGGTGGATATCACTGTACTGGGCGGTTCATGGGGAGAGGGCAGTTGAGGGGGGAAAGTGGTGCACGGCACGCTGGTGGTGCACGGCACGCTGGTGGTGCAATCACGGCACGCTGGTGGTGCAAGCACGGCACGCTGGTGGTGCACGGCACGCTGGTGGTGCAAGCACGGCTCAACGACCGGAGGAAATTCGGTGAGCCCTTGGGGGAGCGATGGGGGGGACGATGGGGGGAACGAGGGAGGGCGATTGGGAAAAATATGGAGTTCCAAGGGGAAAAGGGTGGATGTCACTGATTTGCATAGTTGAGGGGGGAAGGGCGGTTGAGGGGGAAGGGCGGTTGAGGGGGGAAGGGCGGTTGAGGAGGGAAGGGCGGTTGAGGAGGGAAGGGCGGTTGAGGAGGGAAGGGCGGTTGAGGAGGGAAGGGCGGTTGAGGAGGGAAGGGCGGTTGAGGAGGGAAGGGCGGTTGAGGAGGGAAGGGCGGTTGAGGAGGGAAGGGCGGTTGAGGAGGGAAGGGCGGTTGAGGAGGGAAGGGCGGTTGAGGAGGGAAGGGCGGTTGAGGAGGGAAGGGCGGTTGAGGAGGGAAGGGCGGTTGAGGAGGGAAGGGCGGTTGAGGAGGGAAGGGCGGTTGAGGAGGGAAGGGCGGTTGAGGAGGGAAGGGCGGTTGAGGAGGGAAGGGCGGTTGAGGAGAGAAGGGCGGTTGAGGAGGGAAGGGCGGTTGAGGGGGGAAGGTGGTGCGCAGCGCATGATGGGGTGGCAGACACGAGTGATGGGGTGGGGGAATCGTGGCGCACCCAGTGGACCAGGGGGCGAACGGGGGAGGGGAGGAGGAGGGAGAGGGGGGCGAAGAGATGGCTATAGGCTGAGGGAAGAGGGAGAGGGGAGGAAGTAGGTGCGGAAGGGGGGAGGAAGTGACGGGCGGAGCAGCGGGTCAAGGAGGCACGATCGTAATCGTGATGGCAAACGGTTGAGGGCATGAACGGGTTGAGGGGGATGGATGGGTTGAGGGGGATGGATGGGTTGAGGGGGGTGAACGGGTTGAGGAGATAAACGGGTTGAGGAGATGAACGGGTTGAGGAGATGAACGGGTTGAGGAGATGAACGGGTTGAGGAGATGAACGGGTTGAGGAGATGAACGGGTTGAGGAGATGAACAGGTTGAGGAGATGAACGGGTTGAGGAGATGAACGGGTTGAGGAGATGAACGGGTTGAGGAGATGAACGGGTTGAGGAGATGAAGGGGTTGAGGAGATGAAGGGGTTGAGGAGATGAAGGGGTTGAGGAGATGAAGGGGTTGAGGAGAGTTATAGATGAAGGGGGGTGCGGAAAACGGGCTGAGGTGGGCATGCTGGTGATAATGGGGCGAGGGGATTGTGATAAAAAGGGATTGTGACCAAAAGGGATTGTGATCAAAAGGGATTGTGATCAAAAGGGATTGTGATCAAAGGGGATTGTGATCAAAAGGGATTGTGACCAAAAGGGATTGTGATCAAAGGGGTGAAGTGAAGCAAGCAGGGGGAGTTGGGATCGCGGGAATGGGGCGAGGGTAGAGGGAGGAGGGGTGTGGGTAGGAGGAGGCGGAGGCTTGGTGTGGGGGAAGAGAGAACGACGGGGGGAGATGTGGAGCAGGGGATGGGGGATAAGGGAAGAGAGGGGTGGTTGAGAGGAAGAGAGGGAGGTGTCAATGGGGAGAAAAGGGCTGAGAGGGATGAGGGGGATTGGAGAGGGGGGGGGGCGACTGGCCTTGGGCATCTGCCTGTGCTGGGCCCACCCACCGCATGTGCCACAGTGGCGGGTCAGGGCATGGTGGATGGGAGGGGGTGGTCTGGAGAGGCGCGCAGAATGGGGAATGGGTGGGGAGGCGGGATGAAGCAAGGGAATTCTGTCCGTGCATGCCATCTTGTCTGCCCTCGCATCTGCCCTCGCGTCTGCCCTCTTGTCTGCCCGTGGGCAGGGGGGACATGGGGCAGGGGGAAGGGGTTGCGGGAGGGCCAAATTTTGGGAATAGGGTGAGGGCGGTGTGGTGAGGTTTGAGATTGTGAGGAATTGTGTTTTGAGACTTTTCAAAACACTACTTCATACACGTGGCTTTCCTTTGTGAATAGGGTGAGGGCGGTGTGGTGAGGTTTGAGATTGTGAGGAATTGTGTTTTGAGACTTTTCAAAACACTAATTCATACACGTGGCTTTCCTTTGTGAATAGGGTGAGGGCAGTGTGGTGAGGTTTGAGATTGTGAGGAATTGTGTTTTGAGACTTTTCAAAACACTACTTCATACACGTGGCTTTCCTTTGTGAATAGGGTGAGGGCGGTGTGGTGAGGTTTGAGATTGTGAGGAATTGTGTTTTGAGACTTTTCAAAACACTACTTCATACACGTGGCTTTCCTTTGTGAATAGGGTGAGGGCGGTGTGGTGAGGTTTGAGATTGTGAGGAATTGTGTTTTGAGACTTTTCAAAACACTAATTCATACACGTGGCTTTCCTTTGTGAATAGGGTGAGGGCGGTGTGGTGAGGTTTGAGATTGTGAGGAATTGTGTTTTGAGACTTTTCAAAACACTACTTCATACACGTGGCTTTCCTTTGTGAATAGGGTGAGGGCGGTGTGGTGAGGTTTGAGATTGTGAGGAATTGTGTTTTGAGACTTCTCAAAATACTACTTCATACACGTGGCTATTCTTTGTGAATAGGGTGAGGGCGGTGTGGTGAGGTTTGAGACTGTGAGGAATTGTGTGGAGACCAGGGGGAAAGAGGAGGCGAGGTGGGGGGTATCTTGGGGATGGGTGGGGATCATGGGGTGGTGCACCCTTGCCTGCTGTTTCATTCTGTGTGCCGCACCCACCATCCCTCTTTGCACATGTCTTCTCTTCGCTTCTGTTTCAAGAAAATGCAACCACACTTCCCTGACGTCCTGACCCCTTCCCTCTCAACCTCATCCTCCACCTTTTCGCCCCTCCCTGTGTCCGCCCCCTCCCTGCCTGCCCCTCCCCATGTCCGCCCTACCCTGGTCAACCCCTCCCCTCTCTGTCCTGCTCCGCCTGCCCTTGGCCAATGAGGCGATGCAGAAGTGCAGATAGCACCAGAGCATGTGGGGGGCGTTGTGGAGCCACAAATACCCAAGCGATGATGCAGAATTTTGCGAGTCTAATGCTGTGTAGTGTAGCTGCTTTGAAGGCAATATAAAGAAATAGAAAATAAATATTAGTTTTAGTTTGCTACTTTTGCTTGCGCCACATCTCCACAGCCTCGGGCGGGCCACTCTCTGTCTTAGTCCGGCATTTTCAGGCCCATGGACTCGCTGAACCTTGCATTTGCACATGCTCGTCCAAGTTTGTTGGTGACTGATGCCATCATGGGCTCTGCCATCATGATGCTACTGTACCGTATATGGACTGATCATAACAGCATGATCACTGGTACAGCTGCTTCGCCATCAGCAGCGCTCTCAGTTGTTTTGTACAGCTGCTATGCCATCAGCACATTCCTATCGAGTAGGTCTCCTAACACCTTGTCCTCTCCAAATCGATCAGTGAGCGATTTCAAGATATATAATAACTGGATTGAATACAATGCAAACAAAATAATGAGATAATCTTCATCGAACCTCCACAAATTGACAAAGAAAATGCTGCTAGTTTCTCTTTACGGGAATGAAATTTTGCAATAGCTGCTGAAGCAAGTATTCCTACGTGACATCTATGATATATTTTAGCTTCGTCTTTGGCACGCTTCTTATCGAGGTTTCTCATGCTCGATACATTTCTTGCCTTGACCCCTGGTCAGGACGCGTTACAACTAAATCATCAGAGGAGGTTCGGAGTCCCACCGAGGCTGAGACATCAACTCCTCCGAGCCACGTGTCGCGATCGCTCTCGGGTTCGTTAGTTTTCGGGATTACAAATGCTTGATTTGAGTGGTGACAGATCGTTATGGAAGATATCTCGCCCTCGGCGACGTGACTTGAGTATTAGCGAGAATCCGCGAACAGGGATACAAGATATGACGAACAACTGTACGACCTCATATCGATCCCCGACATATCGATGTTTCAGCTGTAACCAGTCCTAATGACACGAATCTCCGATCTGCTTTTTCTGGTGCGGAAAATCCTTTTTCTCAAATTACCTCGTGTAGTGTATCGAGACGTGGTCGTTAGTGGAACGTTCTCCCTCACTTGTGCTTGTATCTCCCCTTCTAGTCTCGATATTTCCCCCTTCTTCTCTCGCCTCGGCTTTGCTGTCACGCGCGTCGCCGTATCGTCGCCACCATGTTTCGCAATCAGTACGACACGGATGTCACCACGTGGAGCCCCGTCGGCCGCCTGCACCAGGTGATCCGTCCCTCTCTCCGCCTCTCGCCCCGCCGATCCGCCTCTCTGCTGCTATCACGTTTCACCGCTCTGCGAGACTGCCAGCCTGTTAGACTGCTAAGCCTCCAGGGCAGGAACTCCTCTCGCGAATCGCCTCGGTAGGACAATTCTACAGTCCGATGGCAGTGCGACGGCTGTGCCACCCTTGAATAAATCAGCGTTCGAATTCCGCGACCGAATTCGGATCCCATGAAACCCCCTTGCTCTGCTCTCCCTCGCCCAGACCGTCGTCTTCCCTTGGTGCCAAGCGAGCAGCACGCTGCTGCCCCCACACTGCTCTTTACCCACCGCGCCCTCCCTTCTCCTCCCCTCCCCTCCCCTCCCCTTCTTTTTCCTCCCCTCTCCTTCCCTCCCCTTCTTTTTCCTCCCCTCCCCTCCCTCTTTCCGCCCTCTCCCTCCCTCCCCGACCTCCCCCTCCCTCCCCTTCTTCAATCTCCCTCCAGGCTGCCCGTTCCCGTCCCGTCGAGCCCCCGCAGCGACCACCCCGCGTGCTGCCCTCCCGCTGTTGTTTCCCCACCGCGCGTGCTGCCCTCCCGCTGTTGTTTCCCCACCGCGCGTGCTGCCCTCCCGCTGTTGTTTCCCCACTGCGCGTGCTGCCCTCCCGCTGTTGTTTCCCCACCGCGCGTGCTGCCCTCCCGCTGTTGTTTCCCCACTGCGCGTGCTGCCCTCCCGCTGTTGTTTCCCCACCGCGCGTGCTGCCCTCCCTCTGTTGTTTCCCCACCGCGCGTGCTGCCCTCCCGCTGTTGTTTCTCCACTGCGCGTGCTGCCCTCCCTCTGTTCTTTCCCCACCGCGCGTGCTGCCCTCCCGCTGTTGTTTCCCCACCACGCGTGCTGCCCTCCCGCTGTTGTTTCCCCACCATGCGTGCTGCCCTCCCGCTGTTGTTTCCCTGCCGCACCTCGCCTACCCTACCCCATCGCTTCCTCCCTTTTGCGTCCTTCGCGGTTACCCCCGCGCGCGCGATTGTCTCCTCCTTTCCCCTTGTCAACCTTCTCGCTTCTTCCTCCCTCTTCCCTCGCCCAACCCCCACCTCATCCCATTCCAACCCGTCCCCTAGCGTCTCACCCCTTTCGCACTCAGGCGGATACGCCACAGAGGCCATTCTCTCACTGCTCCCTCACACGCCCCTCTCCCCCCAACACCCTGCCCTCCCGCCTGTCCCCCCCCACGGCCTCGCTCCTGCGCATGTGAGAGGGGATACGCCATGCACGCCATGCACTGGTCTCCAAGCCGCCCTTCCTCCCTCTGCCCCAAGCGTCCCCCCAACCCCAATCCAGCTGCCATGCGAAGGTGGATTAAGGCGTGGGGGCGACGCAGCTGACGGGCTGCTTGGGCGACATGCTTGCATTGCTGCCTAACCTCCCTTTTCCACTCCTCCTCCCCTTCACACCCGTTACACCCTTCACACCCCTCACATCCTTCACACCCCTCACATCCTTCACACCCCTCACACCCCACACCCCTCACACCCCTCACACCCCTCCCCCTCCCCCCACCAGCAGGTCGTGTGCGCAGGGCAGTGTGCGCAGGGCAGTGTGCGCAGGGCAGTGTGCGCAGGGCAGTGTGCGCAGGGCAGAGTGCGCAGGGCCAACCACGCAGTGCTCGCCACTCTCTCCCACTCCACTCCTTCCCTTGCCGTGCCTCCCTGCTCGCCCGTGCCATGCTCTTCTCTCCCCCACGCTCCCCGCACATGGCACCAGATGGAACATGCGATGGAGGCAGGGAAGCAGGGCAGTGCGGCACAGGCAAGACACGTGTGCCTCGCGGCCATCCTTCCTCGTGCCCTCTCCCCCCCTCTGTCTGCCCCTCTCCTCCCCACCAGGTGGAGTATGCAATGGGGGCAGTGAATCAGGGCAGTGGGGCAGTGGGCCTGCGCAGCGATGCATGCCAGCATCACTCCCTAACCTCCCTTCTCCGTTCCTTGGCGCCCAACACTCCCCTGCCCTCTCCCTCATCCCACCAGGTGGAGTATGCAATGGAGGCAGTGAAGCAGGGCAGTGCGGCGGTGGGTCTGCGCAGCACCACGCACGCGGTGCTGGCCACGCTCAAGAGAGCAGCGTCCCCCCTGGCGTCGTACCAGCGCAAGATATTCCGCGTGGACGACCACATGGGCATCGCCATCGCGGGGCTCAATGCTGATGGGCGTGTCCTTTGCCGCTTCATGCGCTCCGAGTGTCTGTCTCACAAGTGAGTGCCCCGTGCTTCAATCCCTCACGCACCAATGGGTGCTCCACACCACACATTGTCCACTCCACACACCGCCCACTCCACACACCGCCCACTCCACACACCGCCCACTCCACACACCGCCCACTCCACACACCGCCCACTCCACACACCGCCCACTCCACACACCGCCCACTCCACACACCGCCCACTCCACACACCGCCCACTCCACACACCGCCCACTCCACACACCGTACACTCCACACACCGCCCACTCCACACACCGCCCACTCCATACACCGCCCACTCCACACACCGCCCACTCCACACACCGCCCACTCCACACACCGCCCACTCCACACACCGTCCACTCCACACACCGCCCACTCCACACACCGTCCACTCCACACACCGCCCACTCCACACACCGTCCACTCCACACACCGCCCACTCCAGCGCAACATCTCCCACACGTAGTTGGTTACTGCAGTGAGGGCGCCGCAAGTTTCTCCCCTGGCGTGCTACCAGCGCAAGATCGTCCACATGGGTATCGCCATTACTGTGTCAATTTATGCGCTCCGAGTGCGCGCCACATAAGTGAGTACACATGGGCAGATTAATGTTCTGTGGGTGCTTGTCGCATGGGCATGGGTGCGTGTCTCACAAAGGACTGCTCCTCACCTTTCTCTCGTCGCCCTTCCAGACATCCTTCCTTCAATCAACTGCCATCCCTCTACTTACCCTTTTCTCAATAGCGAACGTGTACCTGTGGTCTCCGATGTTCATCTACCTCTCTGTCCCCCCCCAGGGTTGTTCTACAGGCCCTTCTACTGCCAGGCTTCAGTTCCAATATCAGTGGTAGAACCACTACTCTCTCCCCTGAATTATCTTTGCCCCCGTCTCCCACCACCCTTCTCTCCCTCCCACTTTCTTCCCCTTAACTGTCTATCCCCATGTCCACGTCTGCCCTGCCATCCACTACCCTCCCCACATCTCCCATCCCCTCCCAGGTTTGTCTTCGAGTCGCCTCTCCCGGTGGGCCGCCTTGTCTCCATGGTAGCAGACAAATCTCAGGTGTGCACGCAGCGCTCGTGGCGCCGCCCGTACGGCGTGGGGCTGCTGGTGGCCGGCTTCGACCAGACCGGCCCGCACATTTTTCAGACCTGCCCGTCGGGCAACTTCTGGGAATTCCACGCCATGGCAATCGGGGCGCGTTCGCAGGCCGCCAAGACGTACCTTGAGCGCAAGTATGAGTCGTTCGGGGCGTGTTCGCTGGACGAGCTGGTGCGACACGCGCTGCTTGCTGTGAAGGAGTCGCTGCAGGAGGGGGAGCTGAGTGGAGCCAACTGCAGTGTCTCTATTGTGGGGGAGGGGCAAGCGTTTAGCATTTTGACGGATGCGCAGGTGCAGGAGCATATAGATAGGATGGAGAATGAGGAGGGTGGGCAGGGAGGGGCGGCGAAGGAGGAAGTAGAGGTGGTGGAGGAGGTAGAGGTGGAGGATGTGGAGGAGGAGAAGGCAGGGGAAGGAGAGGAGGGTGGTACCAGGGAGGGGTCTGAGGGTCCTGCTCCTATGGAGGCTTGATAATTGAGGTGCGGAGCATATATTTTGACACGAGTGCAAGTAATTGTAAATCACGCAGCATTGTGATGCTTGTGGTTTAATTGATTAGCTATAACTTCTGTGCTTGAACTCCAAGAGCGACTGTCTAAGAATACTGTACGGTACGACTATCTGGTGGCTGTTATTTCGTTGAACAGTAGGTTTTGCACATCAATGTACAGTCCAATACTCTTGGGTTCCATGACTGGTGTCTCTTATAAAGCGTACAGCATGGAGATATCTTCCCGGGAAGATATCAGCGAGATCCATCCGAAAAGCCCGCTTTGCCCCTGCGGGTTTTCCCTGGAGGGATTTTCGTTTTCCCGCAGTCGTCTAGTGGCGCACGCGAGGGGCGGGAGGCGACCTGCCCTCTCGCCCGAAAACGGGCACCCCCAGCTGATGACGCCAGCGACCCGCGCCCTCGAGCTGGCAGTGGTCCCCCCCAACCGAACCCAACCACACCCTCGGTTCGATGACGGGTTCCGTCCGGTAACCCACCGAACCCTCACCGGGCGTCGCCTCGTCAATGGTGTTGGAAACAATCGGTCCTAAGCGCCTCTGTCGTGTCGAAACACTAAGGCACAAGCGAAGCGAAGCATACCGAAGCACCGGCGAGTCAACCCTCGGAGGTTGAAGCAACCGTTGGAGGTTACTCGAAAGTCAAAGGTCAGCGACCTTTGACCTGACAAGTACAGCGCGACAGCAAGGACACACAACTGACTCGCTACAGAGCAGTTGCCCGAGTCGTCACTGTATCGAACCGCAACAGCAACAGTAAAAGTAGTTACAACCGTATCTCTTCGCATTCCTTGTACTCTTATATATTCTTGTATCTCTTTGCTTCAATCAACTTACTTTGCCCTCACATACTAGCGCAAGGTGGTTCAGAATCCCTTTATTAAAACGCTTCCGCTACTACATCACTCTACCCAGAGATTAACCCTACCAAAGATCCTAAGGGGCACTCAGCCCAACATCTCAGAATCTTAAGCAAAGGTAGGCTTAGAAGCCATAACTTAGGTGCCTAGGTGCTCGAGTTCGAGGGTGAGGAGGAAGGTATCAAGAGATTTTTGAAAGAGAAGAAGTGGTTTCACTAGGAAGAGTTGGGATACAAGTACAATGCCCTAAATTGGGTTGTACTCATTACAGAGTACCCCACTGCAGGCTAGACAGCAAATATATTCTGACACACCCCCATAGCCAAAGTGGGGTGTAATCAGCAGAGCAGGCAAAGCAGTACAAGCTCAGGGTGGATCACAATGTCACCACACATTCTGAGCACAAGTTCAAGAAGCAATAGTTAAAGTGCACAATTATCAGCAAAGCTAGTGGTAGTCACAACGGGCAAGTGAGGAGGAGGAGGGAGAGTGAGAGGAGAGGAGATAGAAGGCGGCGGCTGAAGCTGCAGACACACGGGCAACAGGAGTGGCGAGCACAGTGGCTACCGGACTAAGCGCCCGGACTACAGGAGTAACAGGCCCCGCGACTCAAGTAGCGGCAGACGGGCAACGGACCCTCGGGCGACTGGCGCAGCAACAAACTCACTGGGCTACTGGACTAAGCACCCGGACTACAGGTGCTGCGGACAACAGACTGGCAACCTCCGCTCATCCTCCCGCACACAGTCCCACCCCCCGACACACACCCGCTGCTATACCGCTAGCTCCACTCCCACCCACCCCCCCTTAAACCCTAAACCCAAGTCTCCCACACATCCACCCCCCTCAGCGAGAGCTGTAGCAGTGGGAGACGAAGGAGGAGGAGGAGGAGGGGACGGCACGCACAACCGACACCCCCACAACTAGCACCCCAACACTCACCCCCCACGGCTGCACCTGGTCCATGAGCGGCTGCTGCAGGGGCCAGGGGCGGCTGCTGCTGGTGCGGCTGCTCCAGTGGCTGTCGCTGCTGGGGCTGCTGCTGGGGCGGCTGCTGCTGCTGCTGCTCCACGTGCTGCTGCTGGTGGGGTGGCTGCTGCAGTAGCAGCGGCTCCAGGGGCTGCTGCTGCTGGGGTGGCCGCTTCAGAGGCAGCTGCTGCTGGGGCGGCTGCTCCAGTGGCTGCTGCTGGGGCGGCTGCTCCCGAGGCTGCTGCTGCTGGGGCGGCTGCTCCCGGGGCTGCTGCTGCTGGAGCTGCTCCAGGGGCTGCTGCTGCTGGGGCGGCTGCTCCCGGGGCTGCTGCTGCTGGGGCGGCTGCTCCACAAGCTGCTGCTGCTGGGGTGGCCGCTCCAGAGGCAGCAGCTGCTGGGGCGGCTGCTCCCGGGGCTGCTGCTACTGGGGCGGCCCCAGGGGCTGCTGCTGGGGCGGCGGCTCCTGGAGCTGCTGCTGCTGCGGTGGCCGTTTCAGGGGCTGCAGCTGCTGGGGCTGCTGCAGCGGAAAGTAGGACGGAGGGGAGGGGAAGGGCGCGGCCCCCATTGTGCCCTGAAGGGTGACGTGCTAGGGAGCCGCGCAGGTCCCCGAAAGTGCCGCGACGGGCGACGAGAGGGGACCGCGCGCAGGCCCCTAAGGCGCCGCGACGAGGCAACGGGAGGGGCCGGCTCGCGAGCCCAGAAAGTGCCGCGACGAGGCGACGGGAGGGACCTGCGTGCGGGCCCCCAAAACGCCGCGACGAGGCGACGGTCGGGGCCAGCGCGCGGGCTCCCAAGACGCCGCGACGAGGTAGGTACCCGCCGCGCGCTTCGGGGCGCACGGCGGGCAGAAAACCGCCACGCGCCCCGAGCGCGTGGCGGGAAGAAAAAAAGGTGGTCGTGCGCCACGGGGCGCACGACACACAATAGGGCAGCGGAATCGAGTGGGCCCACAGGCCAGGAGCGTTAAGCTCTAATACCATCTCAGAATCTTAAGCAAAGGTAGGCTTAGAAGCCATAACTTAGGTGCCTAGGTGCTCGATTTCGAGGGTGAGGAGGAAGGTATCGAGAGATTTTTGAAAGAGAAGAAGTGGTTTCACTAGGAAGAGTTGGGATACAAGTACAATGCCCTAAATTGGGTTGTACTCATTACAGAGTACCCCACTGCAGGCTAGACAGCAAATATATTCTGACACAACATGGTATGAGAGCAGGTTAGGGTTAAGATTCTATTTCCCCTTAAATTACACCAAGAGACATGTCTACCAGAAAGGAGAGGAGCTCCTCCAACGGCTCTCCTGGTACTACTCCTACTCCACCTCCTGCCTCTGGCCTACAGACAGAGGAAGGCACAACAACGAGACCGGCCGCTGGGTCTACTGAAACACCCGCAAACCAAGGCGCGGGCTTCGATCCAAGCATGATGGAGAAATTCTTCTTCTTCATGTCCTTCTACGAGCAGCATCAGCAAGGAGTACTTGCGCAATCAAACAACAGCAACAACAACAACAACGTGACACCCATGAGTCTCGATGGCTCATCCTACGCACGCGGGAATCAACAACAACAACCTACCTTCGCTCCGTACGAGCCCCAGCGCGGCTCCGTCAGCTTCATGCCACAACCACAACCTGCACCGGGACAAGAGAGAACACTGGACGCACTACAAGTTCAGTCACAGTTCGCGCACGTTCTAAAACTACAAACGACATAACCCTTCGACGGGAAGGATTTCTTCACCTGGTCGTTCGAATTCGAGCTGATGATGGAAGGAGCGCAAATCCTTGGCTTCTTCGACGGGTCCCTGCCATACCCAACAAACGGCACACAATATGAGAAGCAGCAGTACACCTATCAATCGATGATGGCGTACACGATACTACTGAGGAACATCACCCCGAATCAACAGTAGAACATAAGGACTTACCGAGGTTATGGCAACTCCGCGGAGCTCGCGTACAACCACTTGAAGAACCTGTATCAAGCAACAGACAGTGTAAACCAAAGTCGGTTAATGGCGCAGCTGAGAACAATCGAAATGAAACCAGGCGAGAAGGGAATGGCGTATATCAGTCGCTGACGCGAGCTGCGCGACAAGCTTCTTTGATGTGGAGGATCGATTTCAGAAGACGCCTTCGTCACGGTTGTCATCGGCGGTCTTGGTCCTCACTGGCGCTCCACTCGCGCCATACTACGAGCACATGGGAGAATCTCCGAAGCAGCACTCTGCGCCGAAATCCATGCTGAGCAGCAAGACATGGACCTGCAAGAAGAATGACACAAGAGAAAGGTATCAGTACCCGAATTCTCGTTTCACACTCAACGGCGCCACAACAACAACAACAGTCGACCGAAAATCGTACCTCCGTTCTGCCACCTCTGCAAGACTTCAGGGCATCCTCGTACGCACTGCCCGAATCGACAACAGTCAACGACGCCGCAACGCCAACTTCGCCCTTCAAGCAGTCAAGTCGCCTCAACGGAAGCAAATCCGACAACTTCGGTACAAGTCTCAACAACATCGACGGGACAACCTGCGAAAGAAACAAGAAACATCATCAGCTGCATGGCAAGGCTGAGCGACTCCTGCGTAACTGAGTCACCACCATATTACTCACCGGAAGAACAACTCGACAACAGCACGCCTCGCCACGAGTCACTTCAACCGAACCCGACGTACGCCGTCATCGCTCAAAGCGAACCGTCCGGGAAAGACACATGGTTCTTGGACAGTTGCTGCGGACAGCACATGTGCTCCTCGGGACGCTTCGTCCAACGCGAGCACCGACTTCAACGAGAGGTCGTCATCACAGTCGCCAACAACCAGAACCTACGCACATGACGACAAGGAGTAGTGCAACTTCAGTCACGAGAGACAAATGTTATACTGCAGATGTCAAAAGTACTAATCGCGGAGGGACTCGGCTACAACTTACTGAGCGTCAGTCAGTTGATGACGAAAGGCATACACCTGGAAGCCGACAGTACCACCCAGGAGTTCAAGCTGTACCACGGGAAGGGCGGCCTCTACATCAGAAAGGCAGTTCTGAAGAACAATGTCTTCGTCCTCGACTTCGTCCCAGACCTGGGCACCGCAGATAGCGACGCCATCGTGAACTTCACCGACTGGACACATCC